TCGCATGTATCCTGTGGGGATTGAGTACAATTTCGGAATTGAAAATTTTCAACGGATGAAAATTTTCTATTCTGTTTTTTCAATATTACTAAAATAACTTTTGCAAGAATGCGGTGAACACAAAAAAATGGGCGTGCTGCTCATATCCCAGCAAATCCCACACGTGTGAATTTCGTGCTGCAAGTAATAACCAAGAATTTTCATCCCGCCGAGGGCTTTTACCTTAATTACTCCCAGGCAAGGACAGGATTCCATATTACCTTACTACCAAAACCGGACTAAAAGCTGAAGTGCAATTTATAGATAATCTAAAAATAATTTCAAAATACACCGGAATTAAATCCCCTGTTACAGAAATGAGTAAAATTTTTGCGTCTCATTTTCACGGAAAATTTCACTTTCCAATTTTATTATATATTTACAATTATAGTTGTTAAATTTGCATTGCGACATAAAATCCACCATTACACTACTCACACTTCTAGTAATATATAATAAAATAATAACGACAATAATGGTGAAAATTTATTAAATAATATTGTCCAAAACGTAAACCATGAAAAATATCAAATTGGTCATAAAAAATTCTCCACTCTGATCTCCGAGGTTTTAAACGAACGATTTAATTTTTTTCAAGGTGAAAATTTTGCAAAAAAGGAGAACAGATAGATCGGCAAGTTGATAATCGAAAAACGGGCGACGGAAATAGAAATGAAATGTCGATGCAATCAACATCAAAGGGGAAACGCAATGTGGAGCATTAGGAAAGGGGTAAATAGAGAAAAATAGATGTATATGAAGAAAGAAAAGTAGGACACGGATGAACTAGGTCTCAGGGCATTCTTCGATCGACTAGGTCGGTCATAAGGTGAACGAGAATTTTGCGCGCGCGCATTAAGAAGTCGATATATTCTCATCTTTCAAGATTTTTTGAAAAATTCCCGGAGACCGGTGCTAGAATTTAAAAAATCCACCGTTTTTTGAGGTTCATTATTATTCAATGTTTTCTTTATTTTCTATTTTTGTATGTAGTCGTTCGAACCAACAGGTTTACTCCACCGTAAATTGATATAGATTACAAAGATTTCGCTTACATCATTTTTTTTACTATTGGTAAAGTTTTACGATTGTTTTTTTTTTCATTATTCAATGCCTTACAACGTTTCATCATCGTGCAGGAATTTTCCTCAATAAACTTTAGCAAGAATTTCTAAAAATATAAAAAGCAAAATAAAAATTCGACTTGAAGTGTTCTGAGTAGTTGAAAGTTTATAAAAAAAATGCAGAAAAATTATTGCACGATGGCATTTTGGGAGTTCTATTTGAAATAATAATAAGAACTGAAAAATTTTTGGGTCAATCGGGTCGACAATTTGTTATAAAACTAGAAAACCGGTAATTTCAGCTAAAAGGGGGCATAACATCCTCAATAAATTCACTTGCAATGACGAAACTACAACGATTGAAGCAGAAAATCACGAAAAACCCTCAGACCAAGTGGATGAGTTCTATGAATGGAGGCGGACGACATCGAATCAGTCGGCAAAAGCAAGGACGGTCTAATTATATCTTGCATGTCTCCGCACCCGATTCGTTACACGAAAATTCCGCTCATTCATTTTTTTTGCTCCTTGGTATATCTTTACATTTATCCCCATGTCCTCATAACAACTCGTACATATTTTAATATTAAAAATGTTCCACACTCTATCCACCAAAATTATTAACATTTACCGCGAAATATTGTTATATGATCGCGTCAGACTATTAATAACCCGTTGTTGTCTTAACAAATTAATATATAATTGCCATTCTCTCGTGTGTAAAAAATACTGTAAAAAATGCAGTGTTTATTCAATATATTTATATGTTTATTGTTTTTAACAAGCGAAACGAATATATCGATGGTTTTTCGCCATTTCCATAGTAGAATTTCCAGAGTATTTAGTTATTGATTCATTCATTTATTTATTTATTCTTTAGATGAATACCTGGGGCACTCACATTTTGTTCTCGGCATTTACAAAAATAATTCCCAACATTGAAAAATGTAAGATAAATAATAGTGATGAGAACGGATAAATGGTATTTGAAAAATTTCCTTCCGGTGGATTTGTTCTCTTACAACTTTTTCTCATTCAGTCATCGCTGCGCTCTCATACATAACAAATTACACTGTGGTGTACGCATTGAGGCAATGCGATAGTGCAATGAATGATTGTACCACGAGTAGATGAACCAGAACACGAACGACGATTTGAGGATATGCACGATTAGGGCTCACGTTCACATATTACCAACGATACCCTCATCTCCATTTTTTTATTTTCACAAAATTTTTTCAGGCTGCACTGCCACAACGATATTATTTATTGATATTTCAGCAACAATTGCCTATCTGTATAATTGTTCAATTACCAGAATTAGAGACGCGCATGCCATGAAATAATACATTTTTTTATAATATGCATTGTATATAATTTTATAAATTTTATAGACCGAAATGCGAAGTCGAATTGAATAGAATTTGTTGCCTGAATTTCTAATAACGTGCGTTAGGAAATGGAATTTAAATTCAAATTTTTATTGAGATGATTTATAGATTTATTGAATCGCAGATTAAATACTGACATGGGAAGTGGTATTGCAATTGATTGGAGAAATTGAAATTGTTATTCAGAGAATATTCAATGCTTGACAATACAATCCACTATTTATTGACATTTATCAAATTCCACTGACAGATTGAATTTCTTTTTATTGTTCAGGCTGATGCACATAGACATCTCCAACAAATTCGATATCCCAATGATTTAATCGTCACCATTCAGATTTTGAGAATTAATAATCAATGATTTCTGGATTTTATCGTGAATTTTATTTTCTCTTTTTGTCATTCATTGGATGCTGGATAAACGCTCATTCATATTCCTCCCGTTTGAATTTCCACTCATTCTATTTCCATTCGTTTTCACTCTCACGAAAGCGAGAAGGATGGAAAATAATGTGAAAACCGGATAGAAAATAAACTGGGAATATTGATTTCGGAAATGACCCGGGGGATTATCAATGCGTCACCAGAAGCGTCTGGAAAGTTTTTAGACATAAACAGTTTTCAATGAAATTATAGTCCGCGGAACACCAGGGGTGAAAGAATTGCCAAAATGAAATTAATTGTTCTGCGGAAACACCAGTTTTAATTGAATTTCGCGTATTAATCATGGAGAGATGGGAGGACACGCCTCGCATTTATCATCCATCTGCTTTTGATTGCAGAAATAATTAAAATGAAGTGTCATTACAATAGAGTGGAGGAAATTTCTTTGTTGCAATTCTAAACTCATATTTACGATGGACATAAAATTTTTAAATCCAAAACATAAGTTGTAAAATCCTACGTTCTGCAGAAGTGTGATATAAGAGAAATATCTTCGTCTCTCGGATTTCCGCTTTTACTGCGGTACTGACGTTCTTATAGGTAGGCGGAAAAAATATCCCCGGAAAAAATAGCCCACACACCCAAAACGTGTTAAGACCCACCCAATTTGATAGACCATAGGAAAATTAGAGTCCCTGAAAAAATAGACAACGAAAAAAATAATTAAATTAAAAAATAATTAAATTGAGCGAGTTTTAACACGTTTTGAATGTGTGGGATATTTTTTCCCTGGGATATTTTTTCCGGGATTCTTCTTATAATGACAAATATTTCTTCAAATACACAATTCCCACGTTTTTTTCATTTAACAATAAAACAAATTTGGAAAATCTTCGGAAATCTTTCGAAAAATTTTCATTCAATAATGACAGGAATCCATTGGAAAACTAATTAACCGAATTTTATTGACCATTATAATTGAAATATCAATTTTTTATCTGTTTGTTGAGAAAATATTACGAAATGCGAATTTTTATTGCAGTCAATACATTTTTAGTGGAGTTTTATTAGAAAATCTGGATAATCAATTATTATAGAATAAAAAAGCAATAGATTTTACTTATCGATTTACTTATCGCAAATTTTATTGGCTACTAATTTATAAAAAAAATATTATGATAAACTTGAAGATTGATGTTGACTGATACTTTTTCTGACCTACTAAAAAATGAGAACGATAATAGCAGAGTAATCCTCGTTCCTTCCATTGTCTCAAATAATATATCCCCGACATATTTTTGCCAATACCAATGTAACGTGCGTGGGCTGCAAGTCATTTCCTCTCTATCCAGGTGAATTGTCTTCACAGTGAAATAGTGAAATTATATTATTCACGGTCATTTCGTATGCCAGACATTCATTGATATGATATTGATATCGTGGTGACGCCAGTTCTTTAATTAATTTATCAAGAAATAATCGCTGAGTGCTATCTATGATGTCTTACTATCACAGTATTTTCTAGCACTCATCTTATCTACTTTATAAATTACTTCCGGCATTGCACACCTTATCGTACCTTGTGGTTAGTCATATCTTCATGTAGGCGGTATTCTTGCACACATCATCACTTTGATTATCATTTGAATAATTCGTAGGTGGTGAATATTATTTTTCATATTATTCTGGATATTATTCTGGCACAGTGTTATATTTTTCATAAACATTACACCCTCTGCGAATAATGTCATTCATCGATTTTCAATAATATGCAAATTACTCGTCATTTGCCAATTAGTTTGTGCAAACGATAGCTAGCAAATTGGAGAGCTAATTGAGATAGCTCGTTAATAATCATTAATTCGATATATTGACGCCCTGTGATAATTATTTTCGTGTGATGTTAAAACCGAATTAATTGTTCATGAGTTGAGCCTCGCCCTAGATCGAGATTTTTGTTGATTCATTTTTTAGTACATTCGTTGTTTTTTTTTGCGTAATTTAAAAATTGTCTAATGTTCAATATAAAAATGTGAATCATCTTTTATTAGAGTTTTTCTTTAAACATTTTCTTTCCTAAGATTTTTCTTCACATGTGGAATAAATAAAATGAATAAATTTCTGTAGTTTAAATGATTGTATTCATTTATTTGAATGCATTTTGATAGTACAAATTCCCAGTAATGGTTGCAATTGAAATCTCAATTCATACGTGAAAAATCTCGAGCCATGAATTTTGAAAAAAAGTAGAAAAGAAATAAAAATCCGCCGAGTTTGAATTACAAGCGTGACAAACGAAATAAAAAGTAATACTCCAATTGTAAACGTGAGTATGTGGAATACATATTTTTGAATTAATGATTAAACTCGGTGGTGCGTGTTTAATTTAAAATGTTCAATCACAACCGTGCAGCAGGAAGTGACTGAGGTGCTCCCTCAAAAGTACTTCTCAAGATGCGAAGCAATTTTCAGTGGATCCACATTAGGTCCATGCCTCTCAACAGCCTTTCCCTCTTTGTCGATGACGAATTTCGTGAAATTCCACTTGATAAAATTCCCCAGAGTACCGCCCTGCTCCTTCTTCAACCACTTCCACAAGGGATGGGTGTTCTCACCGTTGACATCAATTTTCTCGAACAGATCAAATTTCACCTTCAACAAATATCCCAAATTCACATAAATTTTCAAATGAAATGTACAAATTATTGCAAATATCCTGCAAAGAAGGAGGTCCAGAGAAATTCAAATTACGTTTCATATAAAATTTTATAGGTCATAAAATGTGTCCACGACTTCCTCTCTGAACCTCGTAGTTGCAAGGTATTGGCGTCTCGGTAAAGTGCTATAAGAAGAATTTACCTTCTTACGCGAGGCGAAGCTGCAAATTTCCTCACTGTCACCTGGCTCTTGACCATTAAATTGATTGCATGGGAATGCTAAAATTTTAAGACCTGCGAGAAGAGAAATGACAATTTCCGTATCATAAGCGCAGAAATTTTCCAATTTTCTATTCCAATTTTTTGGGACGCAATCAATTAAACTATGCGAATTATGTCTCCGTTTGCTATTTCCAATATTTAATCCAATATTTAATCCAAAATTTAATCCAATATTTAATTAGATCTATTTTCTTTTAAAAAAACCAAACCAATCAGATTTACACAATTAAATGAGAGGAATTTCCATTCCAAAAGGAAATCTAAAGGCAATCACAACTGAATCATTCGGTAACTATTACTGAATTTATTGTAATAATCATGAAATTGAATTACCATGGGACTCTCCGTATTTGTCATAAAGTTCATTGAGCTCTTTGTAATTAGTCTCGGTAAGTCCGCACTTCGATGCAACATTAACAATCAGACAGACGTGACCTTTGTAACTGAAAAAATGAGAAAAAAACATTAATGGACTTGGCAATGACATTGAAGTAAGAGTTGATTTTTTTTTCTCTTACGTGTATTTATAGACAACCTACTTCGACAAGGGTACTACGTCCCCTTTGATAGAGTTAGCCTCGAAGTCGTAGATCGACGTCGCCGCCTTGTAATCCAGGTTTCCGCTCATTACTATTTAACAGGAATATTGCAGTTGAGTATTCGTTTTTCCCCTCCAGCATCAAGATGAGGTTTCGCTAATTGGGTTTGTAGGGAAATGAGAAGCGGGCGTTGCGTGTAATGGAAATTGCGAGGCAGAATTATTTAATAACGAGTCATTTCGAAAATGTTTACGCTAAAATTTTTTCTCATCTGATTTTAGGTCATCACGTCAATAAGACGATAAATTTATAATTATCTTTTAATTTATTCTTTGAAATTTCACATGATAGGTTCGGATATGTGAATTATCAAAATGAGACCTTAATGATAATTAAATAATTAATTTAATAAAAAATAATAATTGAATTAAAGAAAATAAAACGAATATTTTCATTATTAAATTCAATTCAAATTAAAAAATGTCTATATCACGCACTCCCTATATACTTAACACATATACTGTGCAAGCCCGGGAATTTCAAATCGTTTATATACACAATTTGATTGACAATCGAATACACCGTCTCGCTCACAGGACTAAATACATATATACCCCTTAAAAAAATGCGGAAAATCCGGATTATTTAAAAAAAGACCTCCCTGGGAACTAGTCTGCCATCTGTCAACGAGACATTGAACCATTACACGATGAAATCTTCGTCGTCACAATTTCTCACACGAGATTATTTTCAATGCAGACAAAGCTCAAGAAATTAAAGCTTGATGATGACAAATTGTTGTAACAAATCATTATGACGAGATTTTCGAGACATCACCGATTGCTTACCGATTGTAGACTCAGTCAGATAGGAAATTAATGTTATCAGAAATGGGAGCATTAAGTCAGGTACAACTTTACAGCAAAAGAGACCGGCAACTACTGACACTAAAGTCTCTGCGTAGTATATAATTGTGTTCGAAGTCTAAAGGCAGTAGAAGTGGAACTCAATACAACGGGTGTTGTGAATATTTCATATTAGTAAAGCATCATACAGCAATGACTTTGCGTTTTAACCATGAATTATCATGAACTTCAAAGACCAAAGAATATATTTTGAAAATCCATTTTGACAGGAATTTTATACTATTATAAATACCATAACATGAATATATAATATAATATATATTGCATTTTATATTATCTCTAGATTATTATTTAATCAATATTATATTACCTGACTAAAATATCTTATATTCTGTTAAATATTTAATTATGAATTATTTTCAGTGTAAACACTGATTCCTTTTTTTTCATCTCTTTATCTTCAATCTGCGAATTCATTTAGCGATCTATTGCAAATTTATAAACTTGATTATTGAATTCGTTTGGCTGTCAGTGAATTGAATGATAATTCAATTCTTTGCACAGGATTTTTTAGGAGAGCAATTTAGTTATTTCCGTATAGAACATTAGGGAATACAGCAACACGAAAAATCAATGATGAACAAATGTTGTAGGTAGTGTCGCATGTGTGACAAACCTTCAATTATTGTCGGTTTATTTCACTCGTGACACGATGTAAATATCGATCTGGTGGATATTAAAAATTCGTCTGGGACAGTGATGGTCTACAACACTCAAGACCAATCATTCAACTTTTTTCTGCTTTTAATTGCTCCATCGCTTTCACCCCTTGTTTACAGGAAATCATTTCCCAAAAAAACTTTTCTGGTAATTTTACATTAAAATAGTCCGAGGGCCTGATGATTTGGAATAGATTCCATTAATAGAGAAATGCTCAGATTTTTGATCGACACATTTTTTTTTAGTTTTTATCTAGTAGAAACATTTTGCATTCAAGGTATTTATCGATCCCATTCAGGAGTCCTCACTGTTTTTTTCATTATACACCTGTGACTACTATTATAATTCTCGTATCAGCTCCATTATTGATAAAATATTCATAAAATCGTTCCCACGTTCACAGTTATAAAACAATTTATACCCGTGAAGACCCCTCCCAACAGTTTTGATTGGAATTTTTAAATTAAATTATTGAAGTCGTTGAGATAATTATATTAAACTCTTCTAACAAATAAATATTCCATAAATTGGCCAAGTGTATTGGCACTGACATCTCCACTCCTATTTTCCTATAAATTAACGATTCTAATGTTGATCTTTGAATTTCTGTTTCAGTACTTTGGTCCCTTGGAAAATATTTAGACAGGAATTAAACCAAGTTCACCCGATAAGCTCTGGACTGCAGGCAATGGCACTAAAATCAACAATCGATCTTACCTGCAACGATTACATTTCAAATTTCGAGTTTGATGTTTTCACCAGGTCAGTTGATTCTCACGCCCATCCACTACCCATTCAGAATGACTGACGTTTTTCAAATAATTATTTGGATGATTGATTTTCAGACTTTTTCAACCTTGGTCAACCTTATTACGTAATTGGAAGATATTGGCAGTCACTCATCCTGGTTATGTGGCTTTTCTTACCTACGACGAGGTCAAGGCACGTCTGCAGAAATACTGCATCGCTAAACCAGGAAGCTATGTCTTCAGACTGAGCTGCACGAGATTAGGACAATGGGCAATTGGATATGTCACATCAGATGGTGATATTTTGCAGACAATTCCACATAATAAAAGCCTGTGTCAGGCACTCCTAGACGGATATCGAGAAGGCTTGTAAGTATTCCAGAAAATATAGAAAGATTCTCTATGAATTATCTACTCAAAATCCACACCACAAGTTGTTGTTTGATATGAATTACCTTTCAATGGTTTCCTGAAAGCAAAAGGTGCTGATCCTGGAGGTCGTCTCTTTTGCTTTGAGGAACGGTGAAGAATGAATGAATTCGTGAATTCTTTAACAAATCCCTTTTGATGGAAGTTCGATAATTTTATAATCCTTTTATCATATGATTACATGGAATTTTTCAGCTACTTGTATCCAGACGGTAGGAATATAAATCCAGATTTAACATGGGCGGTTCAACCAACACCAGAGGAGCACATCAAAGTGACAGCCGAACAGTACGAGCTGTACTGCGAGATGGGTAGTACATTCCAATTGTGCAAAATCTGCGCTGAACATGATAAGGACGTGAGAATAGAGCCTTGTGGACATTTATTATGCACACCGTGTCTGACAGCCTGGCAGGTAGTAGTATTTTCTTCGTTCTTTTTCCCATTCTACTCTTGAAGTTAAAAGAATGTATAACGATTATTGTCATTGATTTTCCCTTACCAAATCAGCGAATCGATCAAAATAATGCAATTATCCCAAATTTCAGTGTTTTGAGAGGAAAATTGAGAGAATTTTAGGTGAAACAAGACGTTTACATTTTCTGTCATCAGATCTTTTGAATAATCACTCTTAATATTTAATTATAAATGAATTATTAATAATAATTCACCTCCCCTACAAGATTATAACGGGAGTCTACTGTAGAAAGACTGCAGGAGAATACAACAGCTGTGAGAAAGTCTTTTGAAAATTTCGCAATGTCTAGTTTGTAAAGGGCTTTCTCAAAGGACTCACGTCGCAATCGAATAAAATTTATCACGTCTCCATTACTGATTCTCTCAAGGGTAGAAAATGAGATTTTCAAACACCGTACGATCTTATTTTCTGATGGAATCCGTTCAGCGAATAATTCTCTACATGAATAAATCCGATCAACCATAAATAAATTTATGAAATTCTCTCTGGAGACAATTTTATTCATTAATAATTCAAACGCAAATACATTCATTAGATATTGATGTAATGTTCAATAGATTTTCAAATATCTATTGGCGAATATTCTCTGCAGTTTTCCTTTTAATATATTTCGATGGGAGAAGAAATCTAAATGTTTTTCGCCTTTCGGTAGTCAAGGAGAGAAATAATTACGAAATATTCAATGGCCTAGGATGAATGGAGTGGCATGAGCAAAAGCTCTGATATCGGAAACGGTGACAGGATTTCCGTGAGAACACAGAACTCGTTAACACAAAAATAATTGGAAAAGTGAATAGAAAAGGGTCTCTCCGTCAATGGAATCGTATCAAAAGCTATCGATTACTCTTGACACTTCAGAATTATACGGGACATGCTAATGTTTGAGTTGAGAATACAAAAAGCTGACTCCATAGAATCCAAAACGAGGTCAACGATCTCTTTCTCTTTCTTCTTTTCTCATACAATTTGCGAATCTGGGTTACTTCTAGCATCGTTAACTTCTTGTACCGGAAAAATCAATTGTTGTGCATTAATACTTTTGTATGGATGTCAAGGAGGAGCATGAGTGTTTAAAGATCCCACATCCCGTACGCAATTATACTCTGCCTATATTTTTTAATAAAATTAAATAATCCTAGTTCTCATTCTAGCAACTCCATTTTATTTCTATTCATCCTAAAGAGAGTTTTTGTTTATGATAAACAATTATGCACCCTAGGCGGTCTCGACTGAATCTTTCCACAAACAAATTTCTTCGTCATCGAGGAACATCTCTTGATATTTTTACTACGAAATAGTAAACCGGGATAAGTAGATTTTTATCTAAGATGTGAATTTTTCTGTTCGCCTTTTTTCATCCAAAAATCCGTTTTTGGTTTTTTAAAAATCGCCAATAAATCATTCTGCTTAACGAATCTCTTTAAATCTCGACAAATAACCTATGGAATAGTAAAACGAAATGAATCAATTACACTAACTCGATTTTTATGAACCAAGTTTATAGGTTTTCATTTCGCACCATAAAAACCTTCATCGGGAGAAATTCCCTATCTCCGATGTACTTGGGGATTTATTCATAAAAAAATTTATTCTCAACTGAAATTGACTCGCGTTTTATGGCTCCATAATAAAAAGTATTAGAAGACCGAAGAATCGAATTATTCACAATCTTGATATTTTCCTTCTCAAACTCCTCAACCCGGATGTGATGACCATTGAAATTCTGATAAGTTACAAGACGAATTGAACAATAATTATGGAATAAAAAATTTATGCGATTATCTAATTGTTTCAGGATTCGGAAGGCCAAGGGTGTCCGTTCTGTCGTGCAGAGATTAAGGGTACTGAGCAAATCGTTGTGGATCCGTTCGATCCGCGCAGAACTCATCGACCTGGTGCACAATCAGCATCAGCCAGCAATGCATCAACACCTACGAGGGATCTTGACCCTGACGCCGAGGTATCCGACTAGGTGTAGCTCTCCATGCAAAACAAAAAAACACTATGCAAAAACAGAGAAATTGCGCCCTGTGTATAGACCTCAGAATGTGCCTCATCACTTCCATCACTATCAGCGTTCATTGTTTATTTATTTGTCTTGAATATTCTTCTCTTATTCGTTATTGTCATTGAACCATCACATTCATACAAATTGTAATTAATGGAAAGATAAGTTTGTGTTTTCTTTTTAAGAGTTTTACATCTGCATTGTTGAGTTATTCATGGATAACCGATGGATTCAAGGTAGGTTACTCCAAATGCATCAATAGCTACTTCATTCGTCATTCTCTGGCTTCACTTGTATGAGCTCATTTTTTTTTTTTTTTATAATCGTTCGTCGGTTCTGGTGATAAACAGATCCTAGGAGTTTTATTTATTTTTTGGCTTTGAATTTTCTGGGGTCTCAACAGAATTTCTGGCAATGCAAATGGAATTTAATTTTTACAAGTTTTTAGAATCCTTTTAAAGGGGATGAAACTTCAATTTTCGACTTTTGTTATTATTTTGTTTATTGGACACTCTGTTCACTCTTGAAGGCAAATTAATTTAATGAACATAATTATATTCAACTCCTAGGATCCCTCTAATCAACCTTCCATTCAATATCATTTAGTTAATGACTAACATTACTGGAAACGAAAGGCACTTTGAGAATATTATTAATATTAATATTAGAAATACACCGAGTCATTGAATTTCCAACAAAATCATCGATCGTGGTGACTGCTGGCTGATAAATAAAATGGGTACCATTATCCATCACATAATTAAAAAATCATATAAAGATTATCTGCTCGTATCATCGCATTTGGATGCATCCAATTACACATTTTGCTTTGAAAAAAATATTTGAATGAGACGCATAATTTGAGGCAATACGAAAGGATGAATTAAACCTAAATATGCTATAATAATTAGTGGAATTATAAATATATATGGCATAAGTATTATTAAAATCATAGGTGGCAGGTGAAGAGGAACGGTAAAAGTTCTTGAGTTTGACTCTCAGATTTATTATTACATAATCAAAAAATGTTATCGTGCCAGTAAAGGGTGTAACAGAATTCGTTTTCTTTTTTTCTTTCAGAATAATTTTTATTTTCAAACTTTGTGGTAACGCTTTAATGGAACTGATTTTTTTAGTTGCATAAATGTAATTTTATTAACCAAATTGAATTTTTGGTTGCAATTGTGATCACAGGCGATATATCATATAACAAGTAGATCGATAGTCATTATCATTTTTATTTCATTGAATAATATTGAGAAAAAAGTAAAAGAGAAAAAAAAGTATTAATCGATTTTTTAGATAATTCTTTAATCAATCGATTGTAATCACACTCGATTTGTATTATTTTATTCAGATAGAAAGGGAGAGACAATAATTGGATTATTATTTGAAATTGTAAAACTGTATTGATTTACTCTCTTATTATGATTATTTATTAATCAATCAATTATACATAAAACTTATAGAGAGTTCAACGTTACAGTGCAATAGAATTTTTTTAATTAATGAAATGCCTCAAGCTTTCAGTAATTTCCACTGCTGCCATACGCGTGGCAATAATATATATTAAATTACACGCCGAAAAATATAAACAATTTTTTTTTATTTAGTGTACATTAATTTTTTCCATTGTAAAATACTAGTTAACTGAACATTTTTTTAAATAAAGTTATAATATTATCATTACTATTATTGATTTGATTACGCACAAACTCCTTTTCTTGCTGATCAATTTTTTTTTTACTCAAAATAATTTAATTAATTTTGTTAGAAAGATTGAATAAGACGTTTTTTAATTAAGCATGAGATTTTTCATCACCTAAATATTTTTATTGTTATCGTAAATGTTCGATGGGTCGAATGTTGGGCCCAATGCATGAAGAGACATTGAGGAATTGAATAAATATTGAACTAATGTACATACGTGAATTGTTGGGGAATGCTGTGGATTTTCTGATGGAGGGTAATGAGGTAAGTGCATTATCACTGTTATGGCTCTGCGCTTTTTATGCTTGGAGTGTTTTGTATTTTTTATTTATCACTTATTACGAGGGTAGAGTGGATAAATCAACACTTATTATTCACTTGGCTTGGAGATGGGATAATTCATTCTTTCATGAAGATACACGTGTGTAATGAGCGCACTCTGAGCTCACTTCATTATTTACACTATAAATTCATGAATAATTATGGAAAAATCATAATTACTTGCACTTTACCCCATGTTTATGACAGTTGTTTCTCCTCAATGCGAGAATTATTATAAATTTCGCTCTTCAATCCGAAAAAAAAATTGTTATCAATTTTATTTATTTCATTGTCTCAGAAGCACTCAGCAGACAAACGGGTTCTGATTTCCTTCATCTAGAATTCTAGGAAATGATTCTCATAATTAATATATTGAAGTGTGAAATTAATTATTATCTGGAAATATTCTGAGAATCGATAAAATAAAATTCATGTCGTTTCAACACTTCAATTGCCATGATATTTTCAATTTATCCCAATAAATCCTCAAGGAAATTGTTTATGTTGCCTGTTGTAGGACATCATTGAGTTATGCAATGGAAACTGCGGACTGATGTGTGACGATTCGGACGACGAGGATGACTCTAGCTTAACGAATTCACCGGTGCAGTCGAGAAGAATTGTTCCTAGTCCACCCTTACCACCTAGGAGGTCACCAACTCCAAACAATCACTCGAGAAATACTCGTCATTTAACAGTGCCAAAGGAAAATGCACCTCCACCACCTACTGTCACTGTTATTCTCTCCTCCAGTGAATATAATAACAAAGGTAAGATAAACAATAAACTTTAATAATTGATTAATTATAAAAATTGATGAATTAGAGAAACAATCAGTAAGAAAAACAATTAGTTTCTGCGAGAGAGGGATGATCCTCTGTGAATGAATTTTCAAAATGGCATTGAAAATTTATTTCAGCAACAGATGATAAGAGGTACGACCTTCTTCACCGTGCACTATCAACATCTCCAGTCCCTCCAACATCATCCACCCACGTGCGACCTCCAGCGCGTTCAGTTCAACGATCGCCTCCAGCATTGCCTGAAAAATCAGGTCGTCACTCATCCCAATCCCCACTAACAGGACCACCAGTGCCACCACCTCTGTCAGCTCCAAGACCACCGAAAAATTTGAAAGACACATCAAAGCAGAATCACGAGTACGAGAACACCACGACGATACCCGGTACCAACAAGCACGTGGTAAAAAATATCAATCTCGAGGCTAATCGCGCCAAGTTTACCGCCCTGATGAGGAGCAGGGAAGAGCCAGGGGGATCAGCGCATAAAACAGAAGCCGCTGCTTACGAAAATGTTAATGTTGAACATATCGCGAGGCTCACAGCACTTGGATTTGCACAGGATGCTGTTATCAGAGCACTGGGAATAACGAGAAACGATCTAGATATGGCGTACGATATTCTCAATGAGTTCGCCACTAAGTCCTCCTGACCAGGTACTTTTATTATTTATTAACAATCATTCGTTCATTTTGGAAATTATAACATGGAAATCCTTTTCCCCTCGGTCTTAATTATTAGAAGGAGTTTCATATTATAATAATTTATTATGCAATGTTATTCTATTTATTACTCATTTGTCAGATTTGTGGGGCGTTTTGTTGTTCAGATTGTTATGAATTTTTTGTTGGATTGTTCAGGAAGCCAGGCAGATGGTTCGTGACCTCCCATTCCTCCTCGACGGTACGTCTGAAAAATCCATCGGAGTCTGGATTGATCATAACCAACTGCTAAGACATTCAACTACCTGCGGGAAAATGAAATCTCAAAAATCACCGGAATTTCTTCCATTTATCGGAAGATAACTCGATTTTGGGAATCGGAAAAATTCTGGGTGTTAGAGATAGAGTAAATCGACGGGTCGTGGAGCAAAAATTGGTACGGGATCATATCTCCGGAAACACAGTATCTGTTGAAATTGAAATACATATTCACGATCCAAGTGTATCACAGGCATTTTCATTTTCTCCGTTATTTCACGTGAAATTCGTCGGATAACATTATTATTTCATAATACTAAACTTAAGTCGAAGTCAGACTACAAATTAGTAATAATTCATAATCATAATTACGCCATTTGCATGATTATTACTATTATTTATTTATTATAGTGTATTCGTCAAATGTGATATTTATGTTTAACATGTTATGTTAATCACGTCATTATATCATTTATAAATGTGTCATGAAAAATGTACAAATCTGCAGAATTTTCTTTTGTTACCCTTAAAATTTTCTAAAATATTCTCTCCACATTTATTTGTGTGGATTATTTAAATTTAACACTTCGAAATATTTATGAGCAATTGTTCTTCAGTAAAGTTCATCGTCTCCAATGCAAAAAAAAATCATTGACTGAGCAGATTAAGAGAAAATCCAATGAAAAAAAATGTAAATACGAACACCAAAATTAATTTATTATTACTATTAATTGATAGTCCCATCGTAATCTCTAGTATCAGAAGACGCAAAAATTTTAAAAATTGCTGGTAGATTTCCACCCGATGTATGTATACGAAACTTGTCCCCTTAATAGCAAAATTAAAAACAAAAATAACTTGAAGAATTGTGTAAAAATCTTAAAATTTCAATCAGCGATAGCATTTTTTTCTGAAACAATAAATGGAACATAAATAATTCAAATTATTGATGGAAAAATTATCTCCACGCCTGTTACAATTTCAGCCATTTCGAAATGTTTCACGGTTCGATAAAGAATGAATAAATATGCATCGACGAAGACAGAACGAAATTATCAGTCATTTTGGCTGAAATAAAATGTTAAATTTATAAAAGTGACTCTGCACTGTCAAAGATTAATAAAACGGGTAAAAAAATTGGGAAATCGCTGGATTCAATCTAGAAATTTCTCACGAGTGGAAAAATTGAAACAAAAAGAAATTGAATCAATTGACAAATGATCCTTGGGATGTTTTATTCGTAAAGCAGTTAATGGACTTAGCTATCCTATTTTTCTACATTTAATATATGCATTAGTGTATTTCTCCCTTAATACCATTAAAAGTTGAATTCAAACTAGTGGAAAATTTTGCATTATCTTTAAATTCTGTTGGAAATTGGTGAAGCAATAAAAGTCCTAATTCACGTATTACTCAATATTTAGTCTGAAACAAGAAAGAGAAATTTGAAAGAATTTAGAAGTGAAATGGAAAATTTTCTGGCAGTTGTCATTTTCTAATAAAGAATTGAAAAATAATTTTGTCTCTAACTAAATCGACAGAAAAATCTGAGACCAATTGACTTCACAGAGATTATTCATACCAATCATAAAATGTAAAAATGGTAGAGAATTTTTAATGAGCAATTATCCACGAAATGTTGAGTATTGAAAAGCGAAGAGAAGAAATTTCCTTGAAAATGTTTGGAGATGTTTTCTAAGAAATTAAAAAATGAATACATGAATAAGTTCTGAGGATATCTTGTACCACATTGCAACAGAATTTATCCACCAATTAACCTCGGATTCTATTCAGAGGCGGGGATAATGGATAATGAACAATGCCGTGCAATCCGTGCATTGATAACTTCCTCGTTGATTTAACTATTGGCTGTATACATTATTTTATTATCAAAAGAAGAATAAAGTAATGTAATATTTATATTAGAATTTTTTTTTGAAACTTGTGTTTTGTGTATTCCTGTGTATAATTCCAAAAATAAATTCAAATTTACGCATCATGTGGTCGAAATTAACGCCTGATGGTTTATTTATTATTTATTTAAGTATCACACATATATTAAACAGTGAATGCCAAGGAGAAAGCAGAAGAATTCACAAAACTACGATGAAATACTTTGTTGAGTTTAAAAAATATAATAATTCTTCGATGCAAGAGATGATTTTTTGGAGAATCATCATTAGAACGTTAAAAATATTTTTCAAGGTGTGGGGCTAATTTAAGAGGATCCTTATCAGGTCCATGCCTCTCAACAGGTTTTCCATTTTTGTCGACAATGAATTTTGTGAAGTTCCACTTGATGAAGTCCCCTAGGATACTCCCCTGCTCCTTCTTCAGATATTTCCAGAGGGGATGTGCATTGTCTCCATTAACATCAATTTTTTCGAAGAGATCGAACTTGACCTATTAATTAAACAAGTAAAATCAATTGATTTTGTTTTGTCGTGAAAATGTGAGAGATGAAATTAGTTTCAATTTTAGTCGTTGAAGAATAAAAAGAGATTAGATTGAATTTTCTCGGTAGATATTTGAAGCTTGATGAGAAATTTAAGGGAAAGCTCTCAGAATCTTCTTAGACTAATCATTCAAATTGAATCGTTACTCCAGGTAATCATGAAAAAAGATGAGCCTGAGATCATATCCTTACTAATCACCCCATTACCTGGGTAATGAGCAAGTTGTAGAGAGCGCTTGTTAAGGGTTTCTTTTACGAAAAAATTTCTCAGCTCCTCCAAGATCTTTGTAAAAAAAATATTTTACCCAGAAACTTTAAAATTAGTTCATTTTGTTGGTTCTATTTGTTTTTGTTTAATCCACACCTTTTCACGTTGTGCGAAATTGCAAATGTCCTCACTGGTGCCGGGTTCCTGGCTATTAAATTGGTTGCAGGGAAATGCGAGAATCCTGAGACCTGGAGAAAACGAAAAAGTAATTCATTGCCTAAGCCATGCAGTCGTAGAAAAATCCAATGAATTTTTTAAAAAAGTCTAAAGGATTAATTATGACATTTCTACTTTTGTAATTATAAAAATTCGTTTTATCTTTTCGTTGAAAGATAATTTATATTTATTCATTCCCTTAGATGACCACAGAATTAAAAAAATTTATTTTCTCTCGTATACCCTTTCGGGTCTTTACGGTTAGTTGGTTCCCTTCCCACCCCCCCAACCCCCTGTACCGCATTTGCTTGAAGGGAGGGAAAAACCTCATCTGAGGGAAAAAACCTGCCCAGGTACAGTCGTCCTTTTGACAGGACTACCGCTCGGCAGTGGAACCGTGAGATCAGAGCGTTATAAATTTTTGACCGCCGGTGCCCGGGATCGAACCCGGATCTCTGGCATGCTAGTCTAGCACTCTAACCGCACGGCCACTACCGTCGGTGACCACAGAATTATTTATTTATTATTTCACCTTTATCAATCCATTTTTTTCAGATAAAGAAAGAATGTATTTCAATTATGCGTGGAGAAAATTATATTTACCTTGAGACTCTGCATATTTATCATAGAGTTCATTCAATTCTTTGTAATTAGTTGCAGTCAGTCCACATTTCGATGCAACATTTACGATTAGACAAACGTGACCCTCATATCTGAAATTATAAAAACAATGAACAAATATTTATTTAAAAAATTAAATAATCCCAATGATCTCACTTAGACAGAGGCACAACTTCGCCTTTAATCGACGTAGCCTCGAAGTCGTAGATCGTCTTCGCAGACTTGTAGTCCTGGTTCCCACTCATCACTATAATGAACAAGAACAAAAATATTGTATAATCGTAATGAAAGAGTGATTTTTTAGGTTATTTCCTTGAATTCATGCGCAAAAAATGCCAACGTGCCTGCAAAGCTACGAAACACCTGATGCAATCCTGGAATTACGGAGTACTTCAAGTAACCCATTAGTTTATTAATTAAACAATGATCCAAACAATTACGAACTCCGCTCAGAGGATGTCTCAGAACAATTTAGCCACCGAGTAAGACTTTTGCAACGCAATTATAGCACTCCCCACGGAAAATTCGATAAAAAAAACTATTTCTGTCAGAGAATCAGCTGTTGCATCAGCAGCAACAATAACACAATTGACAACGCAAAAATTGAGGTTCTCAGTACTTTATTTGATGAATTATGTAGATAATATTATCGTGAGATGAAAATATTCCTACCGGTTATTTTTGTCGTTTTATCGTTGATCGGCGAATCAGATTAGCAGAAATTTAATTGCATTAGCAAGATGTCAAGACCGTGACTGCATTTACTGTCCAGCAATGACTGGATGCACCTCCATTATATACTTGGCTCTATTATATAAATGGACACATAAAAAATTCGCGAATCATCATTCGGATGAATCCCGGTCCGATCAATCCAATAATTTTCAAAGAAATTGTTTCAGCTCGGAGATGATGTCAGAGATGTATGCGTTACATATTTCCATAGATCCATATTTCCACTCGACATTTAATGAAATTTTAATCCCCCAACGAATTATTAATTTCTGAAGTGAAGATCCATGAGTTGAGGAATTCTCTCAGATTTTTTCGAACTCAATTCTCCATTTATTACGGAACCCAGGAAATTGATAAGTGTTTTGGTAATTCTGTGGATCAGGTTCACATGATGGGTATTGTTTTCTAGATGAAGAATCATGTGAACTCTTGTGTCTATTTATAGGTATTTCGCAACAGCAAGGCCCACAGGGATCCTAAATGAGGTGAAGACACTTGATAAATCATTAAATATTCTAATTAACAAGTGGTAATGGGAAAATTTCACGAGAAGAGAATAATCACCTGCATTTTTATATTGCAACAGTTGAATTGCCATTTGGGCACTTCCTCCTTGAAATTCTTGTCATTGGGCAGATCTTTCGATATTTCACAATTTATATTGATCTTACTGTCATCGGAATTTTTCACATCTTCATCAGTAATCCATTCCAGAAATTGATTCCACACCGAATTCCCTCGATCGGAGCATATGGAGTTGACGTACTTCCTTCCTGAATTAATGAAACTCGAAAAAACTACATAATCCAATTTTTAACAACATCAATGATTCGCCACGAATTTTCATTACTGACGAATCAATTGCCAGATAATTATTAATCAGTATCATATTTCACCTGATTCTTTGAGATCATTGAAACGATTTCGCGTGTTTGACCAATCATCCATAGATTTTTGATAAGTGAAAAAAAAAACAGGAATTCTGAAAGTTCCAAGGAAATGACAGGAGCAAAAAAACAAAGTACAATTTATAATTCAAGAAACATTCGAATATGAAATTAAGAAATGAATATGAACGAACAAGAAATAATAGACGAATGTCATCTCACATTATCACTTTTAATCTTCATTCATAGATAGATATCTACAACATTTCATTACAATAAACCTAAATGTACTTAAAAACAATATAAATTATTAACACAAATTTATACAATTCAATACAGATACACAGACGATTGTAATTCGTTAATTCTCCCATCAACAGATCCACTGTAAAACACCAAATTGACTAAGGCCTCGCATTTTATTATTCAATAACTTACTCATAAAACACTCGTAAGCATAAACTCGACGAATCGAAATAAAGTAAATTTATGAATCGATTCTGTAGCAAAGTCTTGGAAAGAGATAATCCAAAAGATTCTTACAGACTATTCTGACAATATCTCTCGAACTTCTCCACTCTAAAACATTGATTTCTCTCCATTTTATAAAATTCTGCATAATAAAAGTTCTCTGATTAATGTCTCTCATATTTTTTTTTGCCATCTCTAGATATTTACAGAACACCCTGAAAATTTCTCCTGGACTCATCAAGAATTGTCCCCCACGTATTCAGCGAATAGAAAATTTTTCCACGGAGAAGTTCCTTTCCGGAACTTTTCCACCAGCTTCCCTGACATATTGGGAAAAATCTGCCCATCAGACTCGTCTCCTTCCGTAATGAATCACCTGTCTTGATATTTTTTTACTGACAGGTCAAACGCCATTATTAGGCTTGGCGGGAGTGCCTCCGGAATTTTCCTCAATCGGTGGTCTAAGAAGATCATAATACTGCATGAGAGCTTCCCTAAGTGATCGAGACACCTGGGGAGAGGCTGCAGCAAGATTACACTCCACCAGGCAAGGATAAAGTCCAATCAGCTGCTGCCACACGGATTTTTCCACTTTATTAGCCGGTGCCTTTTTCAGAGACACCACGAGTGTTGCCACTGCCTTAAGAACGAACGAAATCTCTGATAATCTGTACCTTGGAAGTGGACACTTGCCACTCTTCCTGTCATCCTCGATATACCGATACAAAACCTGTTGGAACCTGTGGAGCAATGCAGTCACTGCCAATCTCCCTGCAATCCCCCCATTCTCATCCTCACACTCACTAATCGTAGCATTATTTATCGTCCTCTCGAACATTGGAAACTCGGTAACATCACTGAGTCCATCGACCAGCGAAAACTGCAGAAGTGTCTCAAAACAGGTTTTAGCAAATTCCTCTCTCAATTTAGTCTCGGTGTTATTCAATGGCGATGATGACAAGTCATTGATAGCTGAACCTGTTGAATTAGCTGTATTTGCATTTAAATTATGGAGAGACGTTGCTGAGTGTATTGATCCCTTATTAAGTAGCATTACTATCCTGAGTATGAATTCCTGAGGGATGAATTGGGAATGTGGTAGAACCTGATCTCTCAGTAGCTCCATTATCTGGCAGTCAACGGCCTCGTCTGCTTGGATCTCCTCAAGATTCCTCTCAGTCTTGATCATTGCTAAACTCTTAGGGAAGAGGAACTCGTCAAGGGTATCAGCCAGCACCGGCCACATCGTTTTGAATTTATCCTGATGCTTCCTGGCTAGAGGTAAACCAACATGAAGAACTGTCAGAAGACTCGTCACGGCAAGTTTCCAGGTTGTTGGAGAGGGACATGCGTACTTCATGGACAGGGGTATCCTCAGAGCACCGATAATATGCTTCAAGATCTCTTGATCAATCACCACAGTCTCTGCAGCTGTTTTGTCATAAAGATTGACAGCCATTGTCAGGGATTTCTCCCCAAAAGGAACATAATTCATTGTAATCCACTCGTTGGAGGAATTTCGTATCTGCTGAGATTGATTCATATTGTAATTCGTTTTGATTTGAAGTTTTCCATACATCGATGAGGGTGGATGGCAAGCTAGTTTGGAGAACTCCAACAACTGCAAAAATATAAATCCAATCATGGTATTGAGTTTATCAGTCTCTCCACTGAGTGCTTCGCCCTTCAAAAGATCCATCGAGTGTAAAACACCGTCCTGGAGTTGTGTCAGAATAATATCAGGAACTGTGGGAAGAATGTAAGGAGTTGATTCTCCATGAACGGGAACCTGCACCACGTGCTTAAGTACTGTACACAATTTTTCAACATCACCACTTGTGAATTTATTCCTGATGTGTTGGAATATTGCTGGAAATATTTGAATCAGTGCTGACAGGAAAGCTTGAGAGGGTACATAAGGCTGTTGCAGGGCATCCACTAAGATATTGTGAACATTTTGTTGATTAATTGCATCAGAATTATCTCTCTCTGATAGTGAAGGTACAACAGAGCTCTCCATTCCAATGTTCAACCAAACCTTCCAGACAACCAGCCACAGGGACTCCATGGAAGATGCTGCAGAGGTCAATCCCTCTGGATTTTCAGTGTTTCCATTCTTCTGGATGTAGAGAATCTCTTGAAATGATTTCAACGCAGCTAAAGACACTTCATTATTCTTACTCAACGCTGAGTACTCGATAAATTCGAGAAGAAGTGACCACGCTCTTGGAAAGTCTCCCAAGGTCTGAAGTAATTGTCTCTTGGTGTTGAAGACCCTTGCCACTCCACTCAAAGTCAACACTTGGGTCTCTGCCCACTGCTTTTGCGCGGTATTTCTGCTGTGGTGAATCAAAATATTACCACTGGTATCCACTTTTTCATTGCTTGCAGAGCTCGACAAATTTCTCACTTTATCCAGAAGTGGAAATAGCACCTGCCAGAGAACAGCCTGCCACGTCTGCTGATGTAGCAGTCCCCCATGCGCTGAAATCGTTGAAAATAACGTCTGACTCGCTGATTTGCGAACAGCTGGTCTAGGATCTACACACAAATCCCCCAATCTCGTGTACAAACACATCCACAATTTATCGAATGATGGCATATTCGTTGTGCCAGGAAAGTCCGGAAAGATATTTTCCACGTGGGACTCATTGGATTTCAAAGAATTCAATATCTTCTCCTGATTTTGGAAGAAGTAATCGCTGATATTCCACATAAGTCCAACTGCTGTCAACGATATATTGAGCTCTTGCGTCTGTGAGCCGAATTTAGCAGCTGTATCGACACAGAGTGGGAGACAACGCCAGCTCATGACTGGAAGATAATCAGTCACCACAAGTTGAAGACATTGAAATGCAATTCTCACCAGATTATCACCCTGATGGTCAGAGACAGCGCCAATGATTCCAAGGACTAAAGGCCAGCCATGATGTAGAGTCTCTCCACCTCCATGGAGAATCTGGAGAACGCACTCCAGTTGTCTTTGACGTACATCTGCGTGTCTAACAGAAGATAATTCAGATAAGGGGCCCAGCAACAATGTCTGCAGCTTCTGATTGTCCCTGAGTGGAGTTGGATACTTGTACTGTAGGGCAGATTTCACCAGATATGTTACTGCCTCTACACCCCACTCTCTCATCCTGATATGAGGATGCTGACAGACCTCCAACAGATGATTGGTCAGAGGCCTCCAGAGAACCTCAACTCTTGACAGATTAACTATTCCAGTTTCCAACAATTTAGCAACAGCGAATAATGATGGCTCTCTATTGGTGTACGCCAGCTCCATGGCTTCCTGACTCAACTTGCACAGAGCATCGATGAGATGATGAAGAGCTACATCATCCAGGTATTGACTGCTCTCGAACAGTCTGCTCAACATGGCACTGAGTACAGGTAAATCAGCCATGACAGCTGTTGTTAGAACAGCATTAGAGTCTGTCGCTGTTCTGCCAGCTTTCAATGAACCACCTGTTGATGGCTTGAGGCCGAGAATCCAAACTAGGTGCTGCAGGGTGGTGAGAACTAGGTGCCAGGCACTACCTAGGATACTCCCATGACAATGAGCGAGCATTAGCAATGCTCTCATGCATTGTAGGTTCTTGGCAGTGAGCATCACTGGGCCCTGATGCTGAGCCCCAATCGGCAATGAAGCAGTTGGAAGAGGTGTCCCCACTGCCACCACTTGTTGTCGATAATCCGAGGGCTCGACGATCGAGGGATTGTAATTGTGACAAGAGTCCTGATGCACCGGCGGTGATGGAGTTTGATTTTGAGGCTGATTGTCCCCTTGTTGTTGACTTCTAGTTGGAGTTAGAGGACCAGTTCTAATCCCTTTCACAGTATTTCCATTGCCATTTGTATTTAAAACTGTCAGGGCATAGTGGAGAGGTAATGAAGCTTTACAGATTGCTGTTATGAAAGCATCTCGAGGGGTTTGAAGCTCCAGCAAGCCACACAGTGATGCAAATGTTTGGATTGCTTTCAGGAGATTTTCAGTGGTTGATTCGTCAGTGCTGGCATCGACTAATGGGCTCAGTGCAGCCAGTAATCCACACCAGCTTGATGTGATCAATTGGATATGCAATTTTTGTTCTGCTTCGGTCGGTTTGTATCGATTACTCTCGTGTGTATCACTGCCTCGTCCAGTCTGGTCGTCGGAGCCGAGAATTCCAAAGCAGATTGAACCGATGATATCCAGAAGGCAGGCGTATGCTATGCTAATCCCGTAACCTTCGGGAATTTGTGGAGGCTCGATTTTATCCAGCATCTCCAAGTAGATGGGCTTTGCCTGGCCTGTGGGGTATGTTACGACTATTGGTAGCCAGACGCCTCGAGAATAAAATCCAGGTTGGGGTGAAACACCGGGACCAACTGGCATTCCAGCTAGAAGAGTTGCTGAGGCCATCGAGGGCTGTTGAACAGCTGAGGCCCCAGCTGGATTCACCTGTGGGCTCATCTGCACTGGATTCACAAAGAGACTGTGAACATATGCTCCAAAACTGTTCACAATATCTTGGAAAATATTTGTTGTATGTTGTTTCAAATCGTAACATTCGCAGAAATTAATCAGTAGATCAGTATGGACTGTCATTTTGTGGAGGACCTCCAAGGCTAGTGCTCGTTGCCAAGCAGGCTTGTCTGGATCCAGGAACTTGACGATTAGTGAGAGAAAGATCTCGCATTCAGTGATCAGGAGTGAGTGATATTTTTGAACGAGAATTGATACCACTCGAAGAAGTCTCATGCTGATGGGAAAGTATGGCTTGTCCAGGGGAGTGGCTTGCTGGACTGAAGCTGGCACTGAGTTTCTGTATTTGATGTTTGGAGAGAAGAGTTTGATCACCAGAGCGCACACTCGTTCCTTCAGAAGGAAACTGAACTCTGGATGGTTGAAGAAAACTGAGGAGAATTTCGTGAGAACTGATTCGAGGAGTTCTAAACCGAAGGTTCGAGTCATTTCGGTGATACCGATGAGCCAATAGGGTTGGTCTGCATTGACAAGGTGAACGAGATCCTGAAACATGAGGAATGCATCAGCAGCACATGGGGCGAGGCCCTTTGGTGCTTGGGCTGAGCTCTGCTTCAGGTCTTCCGGATGATTCTGCTTCGGTTGGGATTGGTCCGGTTGAGTTGGAACTTGCTCAGGCTCTGGTCTAGGTTGTTTGGAGATTTTCAATGACTCATCTTCAGCTATCACTCGCTCGAATACTAGAGATACCAACTGGCGAACAGTGGCACCAGCTGTGTTGATAGTAGTCGAATCTTTCGTAAAGTGCAAGCGAAAACAGAGGACCAAATTTCGGGACAGTGTCTCACCATGGACGATTGTACTGCTGGTAAGGAGAAGTGTGACTGTTTGAAGAACTTTAACTTCTTCTATTCCCACCTCCATTAGCATCCACAGAGTGTCTGTTATGTAACGCGCACCTTTCTGATCAATTGCCTGCTGGGTTATCAATTTTTGCATCATTCCAAGGCAAAATTTTATTATTTTCGTGTCTTTGCTCTCGCAACCTTGAACCAGTGGGTACAGAATCTGATTGACGACATGATAGACTGAAGAGGCCCCCGGATTGTTTATTACTGTTCGGAGCTTTGCAATCCCCTCCTCGCAGGACTGAAAGATCAAATTATTTTGGATATTATTTGGTAATTAAATTATGTAATTAGTCCTGCTCTCAGGAGAATATTAATAATAGCTTCCGAAAAATATCTGAGAATTCATTAAAATCCTTTGACCTCAAAGACACTTGTTAAATACTCATTCCAAATTGAAGGTAATACCACAATTGCGCAATTATTTCCTTAATTGATGCCGCGAGTATTACGAAGAGGCATTCTCGATGGGTATTTGCTTGTCTCGACGGAATTGGTTGAACAATTTCCTCTTGCAATGATTTATTCCGTTGTTATTAATTTCAAGGAACGACTTTGTCTTTTTTTTATACAATCCTCGATTCGTACTGTTTTTCTACTTTAAAGAGTTAATTAATAGCGAAAACGGATTGAAGATCGAAATAAATTGATAAGAACCGTGAAAACTTTAAAAAATACAAAACATCATGAACTTTATAATGAACTGATGGAATAAAAAATAACCTCTTTAATCTGTGGATATTTTTTCTTCGTCTCTGCACATAATGCCTTCAGATCTGCTTGCAGAGACTCAAAAAATTTGCTGTTGTACTCAGGAGTGAGTGCGACTGACGTGGTAGTCATTGTTGTTGTTGTACTGACTAATTCCTGCAACAATAATCACGAAAAATCGTCGAATGATTAAACAAGGAGAGACTTAAAATATGTTTAAACCACTGAATGTCTTGCATATATCCTATACATACCCTTTTAAATCACATATATGTATTTGTAAAATGGATAAACATAATCACAACTGGTTTCTTCATTCATCAGCAATCATGGTTCATTCCACCGTGATGTCCACTGTTTCCACCGCGTCTTCAAGTTCGTATGAATTATAACGTTATCAGTTCGAAACACGCAAATTACTCATTTTTAGTGATAACTGTCGCTTGAACGATCGGCACAAGATGAGTTGGCAAGAGTTTAATAAATTGTATGTAATGTACATATGTGGAGTGGATTAACGTAGACCTGTGGATGTATTGTTCGATGTATTGTGATACATGTAAGATTCAGGTGAAAATGGGTCTGAGGGAAATCCACTACACATGTATTATTTGATATTAGTACACGAAGGACAATTCACATTGGACGTTGTGTTATGCACATCTACGACCCACATGGACTCAGAAATTGTTGGACGATGTGGAGGATATACCACGTGATTGTAATGGGCCAATTGGAACGTAGGGCTCGGCACTTGTCACCGGCTGACACCGTGGACCAAAGAGGATTGACCAGAGTAGATGTTCGGATCTGGGGGGTTTGAGTGACCCAACAGCATCGTAGTACTACACCCCAAGAGAGGGAGGACGTAACACGCAATTCTGGGGTGTCTACCCGTCAGCCGACTCGGTATCAGCCTCAGCAGCAGTCCCGCTGTCAGAAGGACCAGTTAACAGGGTGAATGTTATTTTCTGTGTAACGAAATTAGTATTTAGTGAAGTTTTAAAACTTTATGGAGTCACTTAAGGCCCGGATGGGGGGAATTTTTTCGCGATTGAGAATTTTACGCCCTCCTACTCCGCGGACAAAACCCGAACCTTGATCTCAAGCGATGCCTTGTCGCTAACTACGGAATCGCTGGAAACAAGGGCAACATTAGACAGTGGGGCTTTGGAGGGCGCCGACAAATTTTTTCATTCTTTTTTTTTTTAATTCGAAAAGTGCATGGAGATATTCCAGATGCCACTAAGGTGGAATGCGAGATTTATAGCTGAACAGTGCGGCGAGGAAGGGTGCTTCCGATATATAGGGAAGGGTATAGGTGCAATTTTTT